TCTAATACAGTGTAAACTCCATGTAACATCACGCGATTTAACGACTAAGTCCCTAAAGCGTCGAAATCACTCGTCTTTGGTTGGTTTACTTTGTTTTCCATACAATGATACACACCATATAGCATTACACCCACTCTCAATAACGACAACAATTATGTAATAAAAAGTACCTTTTAAGTTGCCAAATTTAGTGAAAATCGCGCAGCTGTGTACGTTCTTTTGTCGCTTTATTATCCTAGCCCGTAATAAACTCGACTGCCGGCATCATGCAAACCAAACTTTCTAAGAAATTCTTTACAAATTGGGATTGCACGTGTGGACTGTTGTTGACCATGACTAAAAAAATATAATTGAACAAAATTACTGGTGCAGCCAAAGACGCCAGAGAAAAATAACAGAATATACGCAATAGCGTTCAAATAAGATTATTTTTTATGTACATAACTACTAGCTTGAAATAAACTTTTTCTTTTCATAATTTTGATTTTTCTTCTTTCCATTTAACGACATCTCTCTATAACGCCATAAAATGTACAGTCTCTTTAGTGTCGTTATATAGTTTACACTGTAGTAAACTTGTAGCTCTAGAAGGTGACAATTTTCGCATGCCAGTTAATGAGATCAAAAATAGAGATGCGTGAAGTGAATTGGGTTAAATTATGTTCTTTATTGCGACATGGCTACGGATTCAGAGTGACTTAATTTTTTGGGTAGCTCCGTTTTACATATTTAGGTATTTTTTGTGTACGTTAATTCTAAATTTTGTTTTGTACATTTTAATTTGTCTTTTTGCTGCTGTGAATTTTATATAAGACTAGCTGACCCAGCAACCTTCGTACCGCCACAAAAATAGGGGCAGGTGATAGAAGAAAAAAAATTAGGGTTGTATGTATTTTTAACACCACATTATAAAAAAATAAATATTGTCCAAAAAAGGGGTTTTCAGGGGTGTGTAACGTATTGTTTTATCAATTTCCTGGGATAACATTCCTCCTAACCCATATGAGAATACCTCGTTACCAATAACCCAATAGTTTGAATTTTGGCGCGAAGGCGCATTGTGGGTTTCAGAACACTACGTTACAGGTGGACGACCATCATCACTTAAGAATATGAAAAAAAGATAGTAGCCGATTCTCAGACCCACGGAATATGCATATGAAATTTCATAAAAATCCGTCAGACCGTTTCGGAGGAGTATGGTAATATGGTAACTAACATTGTGACACGAGAATTTTATATATAAGATAGTATATCCATGCCACATTAAAAGCACAGAATATAAAGCTCTTAAGCTTATATATACATATATACCGTGTTAAAAGAAAAAAATAATAGACTAACCTTAAAAGTACTATCGGGTTATATGGTAATAGGAGAAACTATTTTAGAACCACTTCTGTTCCACATTGGCTAATAGAAAAAATGCACGAATCTGTACCGGTTATGCTTATTAATGACCTAAAAATTAAATAAGCATTAACTACTTATTCACGTTAATTAAGACACTAGTCACTTCTCCAGATACGTTTCTAATGACGATCTTCAGAGCATCTTGTTCAAACTAAAATATTCAATTTAATTTCAAAAGATTCCCAGTTATTACAAGGTGTTGTATACTAATCTCCTTTGAAATATAATAGAGAACACAATGAAGGACTCCGAAGAAGGTGATATACACGAAAAACTTTTATTTAATTTGACGACCTCCTTGTCTGAGTAGTTTGTACGCCGGGTTTCATGGTATCGCCGACTCGAGAGGTCCCGGGTTCGAATCCCGGTGGAGGAAGATGTTTGTGTGATGAATACGAGCATTTGTACTCCAGTCATGGAAGTTTAATATGTATTTCTATATAAATATACTTATATATGTATCTGTTTATGGATTCTATCCGTTACCCTAGTATCTCAAACACAAGCCTACAGTGCTTACTTTGGGGCTAGGCTAATTGGTGTGAGTGTTGCAAATATTTATTTATTTTTATAAAAAAAAATCATTCAAACTTAAGCAGTTTTGTTATTTGGATTATTATAATTTTGCAGGAATATGGGCTGGGGGCCTGGTGTTCTATTATACAGGCAGTTTACCGCCCAGTTTAGACACCAGTCTCTCCACAATATATTACTGTAAATATATCCGTTGTTAATACAAACAACATGTCTGTAACAAAATATTTGTATTGTGGTGAGAATAAATAAACATTATTATTAATTATCAAGTCACACAACAAACAAATATACAAAACTTTGACGTTTTACAGATTGCTGGGTTTGATTGCCAAATAAAAATCTTGATGTTAGTTTCGTTTTTCGCCACGCCCATTCTCTTTCCGCACAGACTCTACTAATTTCCTTTCAAATATAATAGAAAACACGATGAAGGAGCCGCTACCATGGTTACCGCGATGTTTTTATTTTATTCTCTGATTATTAAGTAAATTGCATTATTGTTTAACTAGCTACCGCCTGCGATCCCGTTCGCGTTAACATTAGTTTTTTCAAAATCCCTCAGGAAACTGACATTTTCGAGATAAAAGGTATGTCTCAATCCAGGTCATAAACTATGTGCATACCAAATTTCATCCAAACCCGTTCAGTAGTTTTTGTGCGATTGAGTTACAAACATACAAATATATACAATTATAATATTATAATATATCGCACGTCACAAAATAGGGTAGTAAGTCGGCAAAACCATTTATTTTTTTATTTGCGTTTCGAAAACTACTGGTAAGATAATTCTATTTTAATTCGAAATAGTTTTTGAATTATAGCAACACATGTCGTCAATTTCTAGGCAAAATTTATGATTGTGAGTATTCTAAACAACATTAAGTTAATACCCTATTGCCCGTTCGGATTATACAAGTTTGAAGCAATTTTATTAAATATGTTGTTTTCAGCGAAATTATTATAAAATGATACTAGTTTTAATTTTAACATGAGCCATTTGAACTGCTTATAGGGTATTCTCTTTACCCAGTCACTTAAAAGTACTTTTAAAATAAAAACTACTATTGATACACTAACTAAACTTACTCAACACAAAGAAGGATAATGTACGTTTAAATCAAGGTATCATTTTAAACATTTGAACAGGTAGTTCCGCTTCTATGATTTTTTAAAACTTCAAAACGCGTTACTCAAAACACTGTTTTGTTGGTGACGTGCGATATATACATACATATATAGTAGGAAGTGGGATAAATAATTTGAATGCAACCTATAAGTCTTAGTCTCATCAGTCCAACATAACAAAACTATAGTTGCCAACCCTACTATATAATATAGTATCCTACTACACTTGATTGCAAATAAACTGGGCCACTTGCTACCACGTAACTCTGATTTGATTTTCTCAAAAACTACAAAACTTACAATCATCAAAATTATAACTACAGAAAGTGTGTTTCGTGGTGATCAAAATGAACTAGAATTTATTGAGATTATTCAAATAATTAAATTTTTATTAAAAAAAAGCCAAGGCAGAATCGTTTTCCAATTGTGCTATTCGGAAGTAACGAACGAAGCAAAAATACTCATGTCTGAGAAAACTATGGAGAAAAGCTAAGGAAATGATAAGAAGTATCAGAAATATAAAAAAGGAAGATAATCGCGATTTTAAATTTGCATTGTTGTTCTTGCTTGATTATAAAAGTAAAATGTCCATACAACACTGTTCCAAACATATTTTTGTCAAATGTTATGAAAATAATATTATACAGGCACAATGAAGAGATATTAAATATGTGTGAACAAAAAGCTCACAAAATTTCCTCTTATTTTCTCTCTGTAATCTCTCTCTCTCTGGGTAATTTTCTTCAAAAACCATGACATACCATTTTTTAATAGTATTGCCTTGTCCACTGTCCAGACTAACATTTGCAGAGCATTGATCACAATAAAATATTTGTCTATCCTGATATATAATAAAATGCGTAATAGTTGGTATAAATCCAAATATGAAGATGAAACCAGACTACTGCTAGTCGTCTTATTGGAAAAACCGGTCTTCACAACTATGTGATACATTCAATATTGAGTTTTAAGTGCATTTGAAACTTATAATGATTTCACTATAAAAACGGCAGAGGACTGTGCACAGCGGCTAGTATTTTTACTTAGAAAGCATCCTAGCATTCAATAGTTTTCAGACTATTAAATTTGCAGAGGAAGACATGATAACATACTAGATTAGTAATTATTCAAGAAAAGATATTCTAATTTTATTAGATCACAACACATATTATTATTGATGTATAGATTTCTATTCTATTACAAATCGCCGACTTTTTATCTTAAATACACAAAACCGATACATGTACCAACAGTAGGTACGTAATGATAAGTGGATATACTGATATTGATTAAACTGTACAAATTATGATATGTCATAACATTGTTATTTGTTATACATATTTTGTACCATTGCTTATAAATTAATGTAATTTATAATTGTATTGAAATTTTAAGTTCAGAAGGTCTGAAAAAGAAACTAAAAGGGGTTGCAGAGCCTTGTTAAAAAGAAAAAAAATAACAGGTGTGCTAATAGCATAGTGCTGGTATAATGTTCACAAACATGTATAGGTAATTCAAGACCACATAAAATTAAAATGTGTATATTTATTTTATTACATGGCAGCCACAAATATTTTAAAGCAATAAGATTTATTAAGTAAATGTAATGTGCACCATTCTCACTTATCAGAGCACAGCACAGCGTATTTTACAATTTACTAAAGGAACTTGAAACATTCACTTATTTGAATGCAAATCAAACAGTTATGAAGCCGACCAGCTGCACTGAGCATGCAAATAAGGAACTTAACTATTTTGTGGATGTTTCAATTTCCTTCAGCAAATTGTAATATGTGCTGTGATCTGAAGAACTCTGTTAAGTGAAAATCGTACATTAGCAGTGTATTATCTAGGTTGTCTTAAATTACCTACAATATCACAACACAAGGTTCAACAAAAATAAGAATAATCAAATAATAAACCTCCTGGGTATACTCCCGGGTTCTGCCACATCTTCTTCTAGTCACTGTACAAAAATATTATCAAATGAGAAATATAATAAATAATGTATACATACACATTGTGTTGTAGTTCGGCTGATCAGACGTTTTTAACTTTTCGGTGGCCGTTTTTAACAGATACACTTACAGTGTCACAGAATAGATGAATCTGAAAGACGAACAGACACAGATAAGTTCTACATAGAAAGACGAAATATAAATTATAATTAATATTTTTACATGATTTTAACAGAAAGCAAATGCTTAATAATTGAGAGGCAAGGTCATTCTTTGCAGATGACTCATCTCATCATTTACCAGTTTTGTTTTGTAACCAAGTGCTAAAATGGAAAAGAGTTATTTATTTAAAAGTAAGTTTGTAAGAAACCTGTACCAATACTGTCTTTTTTAGAAAATCGAAGAGTAATTTTCTTTATCAAATCTTCATGTTTTTATCATTTTGAGTACTACTAATAATACTTATAATTTCATTTCATTTCTTTACTACTTTATTTCTAAGGTAATTCCTACCAATGAATGAACCAATGATGAAACAGAAAGATTCTTGGTGCAATTTTAAGTGCGAGTCGAGTAAGTAGCAGACACTCTGACCAAACTTTCACCAAAAATAATACTACGAACGTTTAGTTTTCAGTTGTTGAAAGATATGTGATAGGTACTACATCAGATTAGGAAAAGACTCAGGAAAGTCGCGGATAATTCGATAGAAGTTGCTAGATATATGGCGCAACAAATGATCGATCTGTTTGGAATTTACAGATAAATTAAAAATCATTATTAGCTAAATCCTTACCGGTTCACACACTCGCAATTTAACAGTTTAAATACAACAAGTGCTGCGATAGTAAATTATAAATTACGCACAAAACACGAAAACACTAAAATCGCACAATTCTTCCTTCACAGTAAGTTATTAAATGTCACCACAGACCAGTGTTGCCAACTCGGATTTTGAAAAAGACGTAGGCCCGATGAGAAAATTACGTAGAATCGGTAAATTTTGCATATGAAAAGTAAGTAGATCTACGTACTTTTTTCTGAGTGAAATGAAGAAGTTATTTGAAACCGAATAAAACGAGTATTTTGTTATACAATTTGTTTAAGAACGGGAGATAGAACAAAGAGTTCTTGGAGAAGTCGCTGCATTGGAAATTTGGAAGCATTTACCATGCTGTGGTAAACATTTACCATCAGACACAGACACTGGTGGGTGCCGATTCTGGATGGTTCTCTAAATTTAAAACTTAATTTAACATCAGTCTCTCCTTTTCATTCTGTATAGAGAATGACAAGGAGAAACAGTTGTTAAATGGGCTAGTTGACACTTTTTGGAATTATGTTTTAAATTGTTAATAATTGTTCTATCAGAACGAAAAAAAATTTTTTTTTTACCTAGAAGACATACAAAAACGCTCTTTAGTCTATAGACTTATCTATGCTATGACGTCAAAACATTTGTAAACAAACACTCGCAAGCACGTAGGAAATAAACAGCTAAGTTAATATTATAAAACCATGATTTCTAATAGATCACATGAAAAATATAGTAGTTTATCATGATACACTTGGTAAAAGACTCTAGAAAAGTTGTGGTTTAAATTGCCAAGAGAAAAAACATACTTACACATGAACATATGCTTAAAACTTGCTAAATCCTGTAACTTTATCGACTGAAAGTCTTTTCTTTTTGCAAAGATCAATTCGATGTGAGTAGGTACTCATAGATAGTAGTAAAAGTTTAAAAATACAATTTTTAAGGTTATGAATGTACCTACCTCAAAGAGTTTTGTCGTTTCTGCTTTCACAAATCCTGCGTCCAGCATTAATTTAGTCAACAAAACCAATAACCTTTTCTACAAGATACAAGAGTGTTTAGATACATCTTTATAAGAAATAAACATTTGTATAGTTTTTAAGTAAAGTAACGGAAAATATTCTTCTTTATTCTAGTGAATTAAGTTATTTTACAAATTTGAAAAAATTTAAGAAAATACGTAGATTCTGGGACTGAAGTTAGTAGGTTTCCAGAAAAGGCCTAAAATACGTAGATCTACGTAAAAAGACGTAGAGTTGGCAACACTGCCACAGACTATTCAATGACAACGTAAACGTCACTGAGATTTCATTTCTCTTCTCAAAATTCTCAATTGTTTTCTATTTCAATAATTTCATTGTGACAAGCGACAAACGAATATTTGAAGCATTTGATTATCAGACGCAAGCTCAACTATCATTGGATGTTATAATCGAAACTAGATTTTATACACCAATCAGAATGGATATCAGAAAAGGCTTTGTAAAGAAAAACAAACGTCCAATGCAAAACAAAGAAAAAAGTCTATTGCCGGCACTTCCTCGATTATTCATAGTTGCTATCACAGACTTACAATGGTGTCGATTCTAGCATGATTCTCTAAACCTAAACTTAAATTTGACAGCAACATATCCTTGTCATTCTCTATACAGAATAAAAAGGAGAGACTGGTGTCGATTCTGGCGTGATTCTCTAAACTTAAAACTAAATTTAACATCAGTCTCTCCTTTTCATTCTGTATAGAGAATGATAAGGATGCACTGTTGTCAAATTTAAGTTTAGCTTTAGAGAATCATGCCAGAATCGACATCATTGATGTTAAATTTAGTTCTAAGCTTAGCGAATCACGCCAAAATCGATACCAGTATGTTGCTATTTGTAAACTTGACATAGTCTGTCCATATTATACTCTATTAAGAAAGAGAAGGATATATTGATGTTAAGTTTACTATAATAAACACTAAAAGTCAAGTGAAGTGCCGGCATAAAGCGGGGACTTGTAGGACTGTTTCTCCATTGCCTTTTCCCTTAAAAGATTTTACACTGTTTTTATTTTGTCATAAATAGGTATAAAGGCTATTAAAATGCAATTTATATAACAGGACTTAAGATTTTTTTGGAATAGTTTGTATAGGTCAAGACCTATGCCTACTCCAAAAAAAAAAACAAAGTTTTTGGCGGGATTTCATCGAGTGCAGCTGGCGATGGCGTCTTATTTTAATTATTCTTATTTATTTAAAAATTCGTTCATAGTGGAAATTGTGAAATAAAATTGGATTGATTTTGTGTTACAACCGTCTGCGCAACTGAAGAATTAGTGAAATCCTTAAAATATGCGCTATTCCGGTCAAGTCGACGTGAGATCTTTATTGTAGTGTTGACTACCGCACAGAAGTTTATCGAAAAAGCTATCTCGAGACATTTCGTGCCAAACACTCCATGAAACATTAGAATGTGTCACACCGACATTCTAATGTATAAAAAGAAGATTAATGTAACTGAAGACCAGGCTGTATCGGTATTGTTTCCTTTGCCTTCCTTAAAACGAAAATCTAAAAAAAAATTAATAGATGAAACAACAGTGATGCGACATATTAAAAAAAAATCGATTTATTACAAGAATAGTTTTTCTAATTAAATCAATTATTATTCAAAATGCCTTTTCGAAAACTTGATATACCTACACTTGTGGCGACTTTGCACCGCATAAAAGTTGGTCCATGTCGCCGTACAGCCAGTGTCTATGGACATTCCGTAGGCACTGGCACATTAGAAATTAACACCCATATTCTTAGTCGTTTCCTCGAGATTTTTTCCACTCGACTCAAAAATATCCTTCACTTGATTTATTCCTCACTCGAGTGGAGGTCGAGTCGAGAAATAAACTGTCAAACTCAAGGTAGCTCTCAACGTACCTTAACGCTTCCTCAAGTGGTCTTTAAGGTGTTTTCAAGTTGTTTTTATCGAGTATTATGTCTGATTTTGAGATTATTGACGAATTGGTGGATTTTATGGATTACGTATACGATGATGAACCATATTAATCCGGCGCGACGCCGCAAATCCTTTTGAGGTTTACGACAATGATTCGTTTCAAAGAAGATTTCTGTTTAGAGAGATATAGTCATACAAGTAATATTTTCTCTGCTAAGCATTACACTAAATTGTAATAACAGAGGACTACCTGTACCGCCTTTAATACAATTACTGGTGGCTTTGAAGTTTTACGTGACAGGATTATTTCAAGTACCTAGGTATTTACCTATGTTTGTTGTGTGATATTTTACTTTACATATTTAATATGTCTATGCTTTTATGCTTTATACCTTTGTTTGTACCTACTCTCAGTGGACAAATTCTCAAGTTTGTTCAAGATACCTACTAGAATATCATTTTCGAGGTTATTTGGAGGAACTCCTTAACCTTTTAAGTGCGGCTGTCGAACCAGTCCGACAAAAAAATATCTCTCTCAACGCCGGCTACCGCACCAGTACGACAAGACTAGTTGTACTAGTTTAGACCTTATAATTGAAACAAATAATATCAGAATGGTTTGTGTCGTATGTCAAATGAATGAGAAAGAACCAACCTATTCATTCAAAGATTTACAGTCTACAAGAACAATACTCATTCATGTGACCACCATTTAAAAATATTCGTGCTCCTCCTCTCCTGTGCTGTTGACGTACGAGTACTTTTCAGTGTGTTTTGTTTGTGAAATCCTACAAAGAAGTTAAAAAATGGGTAAGTTATCAATTCTTTATACATTTTTTTTATATTTAAAAAAAACCGTGTACTAATTCATGCTTTAGTTTTTGAATAAATTGAAGACAAACAAAAACAACCTAAAATTTTTTCCTACTATCCTTTTTTCATGATTTTTTTTCTATTTTATTACTTTATTATTTTATCCTAGTTTTAATTCAAACTTACAGCAAATTTACGAAAGAAGTTAGATTTTACAAAACATTTGTACTTATAAAGATACTTTCACAATAAAATTCAAATATTATAGGCAAACCGCAAAATGTTCGCAAGACGCACGCACACATGCATAACATGACGTTTAGGTGTGTGCGTGAATTGCTCCGGCTATTGAACAAGGGTGTTCTTTTTATCTACTGTTTTGAAGGAAGTATTTGTTCTGATTTGAAGATAATTATTTATTGAGATTTTATGTTCGTACACTATGAACGTACTTAGGTACCTATATTTTTTAGCATATGTTAGGTGATTAGATTTGTCCAGTAGTGATGCTGTAGCATCGATAGGTATTAATTTTTTCTGAGTGTCGTTCTTACAATTATGAATCTGTTTTTCAATTTCATAAAGTTTATCGAAAAATGAAGAATCAATTTTATAAATTCTTTTTTTTTATATAAAAGGTAGATTCCGGCAAGTTAAAATCACTCATAATTGCGTTTCTCGGCTTGGTTTACAATTTTAAGTTTATCATTCAACAAAATCACTTTAATTTTTTGTTTTAACATTTTGAGGGAACAACGTAAACCGCAGGTAGGGACAAGCGCACATGTGCGCTGCAGCCATTGTCGTTTTAGATGGAATTACAAACAATTCCATCGAAAACAATGACGCTTTGGCTTTCTTTGTTTACAAAAAAGGATATGGTTTGGCTTGAACTTTGAGTTGCGAGTTTTGAGATGTGTATTGAAATATTATTGTAAATAGTCTCGATGGCGCAAGTGTTATTTAGCGCGTTCGGCTGCGATCGTTAAAGTTAAACAACTTTCGCAGTGGTCGGTCATTGGATGGGTGACCAAAAAATTATTTATATTATAATTTAAGTTGTTGTTTTTATATTTCTATAAGTTGAAATATATAATTATGTTTATTATTATTTAGATAAGTACATACATACCTAACACTAGAAGAAAATTTAATATAATAAGTACGTTAACATTAATTATGAATATATTATTATTTTGTAAACCTCAGTTTTATTTTTAAACTTCACTAATCTTACTTTGGAACCCACTGTATACGCTCTTGTACGTACACAGCGGAAGGTCGACTTTAGACGTAAAACTTGAGTAATAAGTAGCCACTTAGAGAATTTTTATTTATTGATTTTGTTTGATAAAACATAATGAAACGCATATAAATAGAATGCTCATTTATAGAAGTTTTTTTAACTGTAAATAAAAAGGCATTGTATAGTAATTTTAGAAAAAACTGTGCACAAAACAATGCTCATAACTTTTTGCGTGAGTTTGATATCTGATCTTGAAAACTTGGTAATTACCGTTATATTATTTGCTAATACGATACAGTTTGGTCGTGATATTCAATATATGTAAATTACTGATATTTCAAACGAAAATTTGCTAAGTTATACCTTATAATTATGACACAGTATAATTTCGAAAAACCGGGATCAACCCGCGCGAATTGCTTCCGTGGTGAAATTTTAGCGCTTTTTCAAACTCCAAAAAGTTGTAGTTTTATATTTACAATATTTATAAAAATTACCAATTTCTTTAGGGAATTTTATGTTTAATCTTATAAAAATATGTTTTTTTGGTAAAATTGACATTTGGTAGCTAATATATTCCATCTTTACTACAAAGTAGTTAATTTTTCAATTCTTCTAAGAACAAGCTCATGTTTCCGCTCCAAATATAAACAAAACGTGTTTATTTTGTGTTAGTCAGCTAGTTCATTTCATTATCTTTCTGATAATATAAGCATTGCCGAGCTTTGTTAAGTCTAAGTCGTAAAAAATACGATAAGATCGAGTCGAGTGTCCAATGGCGCGCTCAAATCTTAAGTGCGCCGGCCTCTACGGTATCGTATGCGCGAGGCCGCGCGGGCCCTCATAGGTTAAGGAGCCCTCGAATGAGTTGGAGTCGAGGAACGTTTGAGAACGCGACTAAGAATATGGGTTTAAATATTTTTATTTTAATTGGGTTTCTAAAACTAGACTTCAAGAAGAAAATTTCGTTTCATACAGATGGTATTTTTGTTTAGTGAATATTTCCAAATATAGTGCTGATAAGTTAACCCAGTATTACCGTTTTATAATTCCATTCCGCTAGTGGGGAGCAGCGGTTAAACATCCCTAAATACTCATTTGTAATTAAAGTAAATAACGTCATGATCCCCGGGAGCCAATTTCACATTTTTAGGTGCTCGTTCGGGGTCCTGCCTGCCATCCTCGACACTATGCCTACCGATGGAAATAAAATTAATAGAGTTGGCGAATTTGACATGACTTTCTAACCTTAAAACTAAATTTAACATCAGTGGTGTCGATTCAGTCGTGATTCTCTAAAGCTAAAATTGATAACGTTTATCCTTGTCATTCTCTATACATAATGAAAAGGAAAGACTGATGTTAAATTTAGTTTTAGGTTTAGAGAATCACGCCAACTTATACTGCTTACTTAAACTCTTTTAAATTAAAAACGATATTGGTGTCAATTCTGGCGTGATTCTCAAAAGTTAAAACTAAATTAAACGTCAGTCTCACCTTTTCATTTTGTATAGAGAAGGTCAAGGATGCACTGTTGTCAAATTTAAGTTTAGCTTTAGAGAATCATGCCAGAGTCGAGATCATTATATATTTTATATGCGTTAATTTTCGATAGTAATACATCACGCTAACTACGAGGAGAAGCTTAATAAAATGGTTACTGATATAGAAAATTACGAGACGCAAATAGCGCTTAAGAGCCCTTTTACAAAATTGCACCGCTGCCGTACTAATCGGTACATAAGTAGATTTGCACTAGTATTTATCGCATTTTACGGTTAACGTCTAGAGTCTTATAAAATAATTATTAATGAACTAATTATAAATATATATACATATTTCCGTAGTTTAATGATGGTAGATTAGTTTTATGAAAGTTTTTAATAGTAATTCTATTTAATTCAATATCAAATTACAAAAAAAAAAATACGAGGATAATAATAATGCATTATTTTTTGGGAAAACTCATGGAGGTAAGATGTTTTTTTGATAATTAATGAGATAGAAAATCAAAATTTATAGCGTTAGCAAAAACAAAATAACATCTTTATTTTATGTGATCAATTATTGATAATGCGATCTTCTGGCGATTTCTTCATTTCGCCGGATTTCAATTCAATTAGAATGATTATACTATTTGATTTGGGAAAAAAACATATTCTTTTGAATCGCTTTAAAAATCGTATTACAATAAATGCTGTAAATCGTTATACAAAAAATTCGATTGGGATTGGGCATGGTCATCCCTGGCTATTTTTGACAGAAGTTGATTCGATTCGATGGATTTTAGGTTATAATATTGTATAGCTTTTTAAAATGAGTTTACTTTTAAATGGCACGTTATTTAAGCAGGGAAATTGTAAGAATGAAATACAGTATTACTTGATGATGTCCTGATTTTAGTTAGTACTAAAATTCTGGACATCAAAATTTATTTTGAATTGTAAATTGAATTACCATAAAATGAACTGACATTATCTTTATTTATTACTTTTCCAGTCCTTTGCAGAGCCTTCTCGTGTTCTTCATTAGTGTACACTAAACAATGGCGTATATCAAAAGGCCTGGCTGTTAATCGTAATGCAGAGGGTTTTATACTCGATGGACCAGACTATACATTCTTAGATGGAAGGCCAACACCTTTACTAGTAAGTGATTTAACTAATGCAGTACGTGTTCCTTTAAGAAATTGCAGAATAATGTAATTTTAAATGTAAAAATATTTTAAAATTCAGTTTACTTAAAAATGGCTTACCGTCCACAGAACAAGCAGAAATTAAGGATGTTGAAACAAAGGGAATTTGCTTCGAAAATTATAGAGCTTTCATCAGAAATAGATTTCGCAAAGGAACTTTATCAGCAAAAGTTGAAGTCCGCAGAAAAAGAAAAGCAAAGAATCCTGGATGACAGACTAAAGCCTAAAGGGAAGGCTCTCCTAAAATAGATTGGTAGATTTGTTTTTACAATGTTATTTGAAGTTAGAAGAGAGAAGTTTGTTTCTTTAGTCTTAAGATAGTTCTGTAAAATTAAATAAATTTTTATTCTTAAACTTATAATTAATCATCAAATGTCAACACAATCATTGTTCCTGAGACATATTCTGATTGATTAAGTATCTTGCTTTGTAATTAGCCTGTTGGTAAACAAAAATAATGATATCCTACATCAACTGATCAATAATTACAGCTAAGATGTTTTTAATTTCAAATTGTGGTGATAATTAAATCCATTTTCAAGATCAGTTGGATCTTTTCAAGACAGTTCGTGTAGTTCAACAGCCTATTATCTATCATGAACAAGTCAAGTCAAAATTTCTTTAATGAATAATGAAATTTTTATGTTAACTTTTGAATCAGTAAAATATTTGTTATAGATATTTTTTGGTGAAAAAAAACTTCTCAGTGTTTAATTAAGTAACAATATTTCCAAAATATATTTTTGCAGTGATAGCTTTAACTATAAATTCAACAGTACAGAACCCTACATGGGTGGGTAAATTGCAAATTGATGGTGAAGTTCCACTTCCTTGTAACAGTCCACTCCACCTGCTTTTTGGTGTTGGGCGTTATTGATGTAGACCTTTTTCAATTGAATTTCCAAAATGAAGAAAAGATTGCCAGTATACGACACGCCGTCAAAGGAATATTACAACAATTACTAGAGAAATAAAAAGTACACATGATATTAAAAAAAATATTTACTAAGAATAACTGCCAACGTTTCTTCGGGATGAATGAATGAGCTTCTGCATAATGAATAATAGCAGGGCCAGGATTGATAGCATTGTGAACAGTGTCAATCAATATATTGTAAAATGTAAAGTATTTATTAGGATACAATTTTAAGTCTGCATTTTTAATGTGAAACGGACCTATCATCAATCAATCTTTGTGGATTCAACGGGTGTATTGTATATGATATGGGATTTTTCTTTTTCCGCAAATGAATTAAGCAATGGCTCCAATTCTCTGTCTCCATTTACACTGACCTGCTCTTACTAAAATGAATGTCTGAACTGACAGATGGCAACCGTGGGCATCGACAAGCAGACACGGGTCTTTATTGTTCCGCAGTCAAAATAATATGTACCCAAATTGATACTCTGGTATCACGGTGTCTACGCTGTGGTTGGTGGCTTCATAATATGTTTTATTCTTAAAATAATAACGCTTGTCGGCGGTTGGATTCGCAGGCGATGCCTTTAATTACAACAGGCTAATATAAAATTTTAAACTCATAATGAGCAAAGTGGGTGAGTAACAAGTACGGAGATTGTAAGATAAATGCTGTATACAGAAGGTCCTTTTGATAAAAAATCCTTGAGCTAAATACTTAAATAAATAGGTGCGGGTCTACTGCGAACATTTCAGTGGGCACGAGAATGCCTCCGCGCGTTGAAAGCCGCGCTTTAATCCAGATGTGGAGGACACCCAAGGGCGGATCCAGTTTTGGCGCCAGGGGGGGGGGGTCATATAGTCGTGGTCAAGTCACAGTGGGTACAGATTGTGAAGTGCAGATTGTGAAGTGGGTACAGATGGACCCAGCCCAGGGGGGGGGGGGGGATCCGCCCTTGAGGACACCGGCAATGGGCAAATTTTGTTGAATGCCCTTCGAACCACGCCAGTACAAGTTCGAATATCGGCTACTCGAGCGACGCCGTCGATTCCGGGATGCACAGCCACAATTCTTCTTGAAGAACAAAATGGAGGAAGATGGTCATCCTTGAATACGACCACCAGTCTTCAAAACATCTTCGCCAGTATGGCACTTGGTTAGTTGTTGCAGTTCTGCAACATATTTTTAATATTTACATATTAAAATTATTTGTTTATTTAAGCAATTATAGTAGGGTATAAAAGGATATTAACTACAAATGCGTTGAATTAACAAACATACGTTCGGTACTTACCAAAAATAAGACACTCCATCCTTTTTTAATGTGAATAATATATTGTTTTTGCATTTTTTCACGAAGAACTTTGGCATGTTGCGTTTACAACACGGTCCGCGCGTGACTGTGAACCAAGAAGTGCTTGGGCGTTGTCCAAGCACTTCTTGCATAGGACATATTTTGAGCGCTGATGGTGTATCTAGGGTATTTAATATCGTTGTTCGAATAAGGTAAGTAAATTAATATGCATTTTATTGGTAGGCAAAACGCTCCTGAGTGTTTCTCACAAAAGATGTACGTAACGAAAAAGCTGTAACGAAATATTGTAACGAAATACTTTATATTGCAACGAAATAGTAAAAGCTGGAGAAAGTGATGTCATTATAAAAATAAGTTTCTATTTATTATTCGCCGAAATTAAAATTAAAGGAAGAAAAAATATCTAAGAAAAAGAAAGAAAAAAATTATAAAAAATAAACATCGTCTTCTACATTCGTCAGAGAAAGACTGATTTTTTGAGCAATTGATTTTTTAACAATGTTTATCTCAGGGATACAGTCTAGATCTTCAATTTTAGGGACCTGAAATTTTACATTAGCTATTTTGCCGATTTTTGCCTATACTATTGTAATATGAAATTGAGTACTTTTTTCACCATAATGAACCTTGGTAATAACACCAACATAATATTTCCATGCATTTTTGTAATATCGTGCTAAAACAGTGTCTCCAAGTTTAAAAATCATATTTATATCCTCAGACCAAATAAAAAGTATAGACGGAGTCTGCCGAACCAAAAAGTGAAGCCGATAAAACTACGCCTCGCCGTGTACATACACAGTTACACGCACACACATGCAACGAAACTACGCCTTGGATTCTCAGTCGAGCTATCCCGACGCGCGGAGTGTGACGTAATAATAAATAACAATATTTATTAGAGAAAATGCCGAATTGTGTAGTGAAAACGTGTAAAAACCAATCTTCCAAGAATAAAAAACAGGATGGAATCACATTTCATACGTAAGTAAAGTTATAAACTGCTATTTTCAATTAATCAAAATCAAATTTGAGGTTGTCGCTTTGTAAACAAAACCTGAACGAAATGTTGCCATGATTATTCGTTACAGTTTTACCCTTTTGTTAGGTAGCGTGAAATATAACGTAACGTTATTTTATTAAATACATTGTGTGGCATACTTTTATATTATTCGAATATTGTAATGAATGGATAAACAATTACACGAAACATCTTTTTTCTTTATGTATTCGTATAAATTTTTTGGGATGTAATACATGTTATATATTATACGTTTTTTTTAAGATTTCCTAATCGAGATCAAGATCTAAAAGAGAAGTGGATTGCAGTCATTCGTAAGAGTAGAAATGAACCATTGTGGCAACCAGCTTCCCGCAGCGTGGTTTGTTCGACTCATTTTCAGAGCGACGATTTGTACTACACAACAAAAGGGTTATGTCGTGTAAAACAAAATGCATATCCAAAGGTATTTTTTTTACTATTATTATGATTACATAGATTAATTTATATTTTAAAGATTCCAATAATTTATTTGCTAACTGCTTATTGTTTGTACAAGTCCCACCATCTATCATGTTGTGGTAGAACTACTTGCTTCAGTTTCCCCATTTTGCCGTATTATGCTACTAAATTAAAGCGAACTTACTTGAATTAAGTATCATTGTTCATTAAAAGTATTAGTACAATAGTAAAAATAATGTTAATTTGGTACTTAGCTAATTTTAAACTCAACCTTGACCGTAACTGTGCACACTAGAAAAATGCGTCATCTAATATGCACACCGTTTTAAGATGCATCTACTTTTTAATGGCCTTTTTGACCCAAAATTCGCGATGTTTGTGGATTTATTTTATTATGTTCTTGTATAGGAACTAGTGATTATATTTTGTGTATTCTATAGAAAATTTCATGTATATTTTAATAAAAGAAACTGTTTATCAACATTTGTATATGCCTTTCGTTTTATCGACATAAAGTTGAGATGACTGATTTGGTAGCGATTTCAAGTGCCTTGTTGCGAGTGCTTGAAACTATAAAATGAACAAACCTATTCCATCCGAGACTTGTAACTAAAGTAAAATAAACAATCCAACATAATTAAACGTCAACACATAAATCAAGGCACTTGGATCTCGCATTTGTTTTTATCAACACTTGAAACACGACCCTGTTTTTTCTGTTGCGTGTTATTTTTATAATTGTATTTGGTAAGTTATTATATACATTCATTTATATATAGTACATTCTATATGTACAAAAACCTGGATTTATAATTTACAAATTTTGAAAATATACCTCATTTTACCTATTTAAACGACTTTTTTTATCTTTCCTGAGTTTACCATAATGTAATTAAAATAAATTATAGACATGACGCATTGTGTACACACTGTTTTATTGAAAATTTTATGGAGAATCCAAATATACGTTTGTGAAGGGTATTTTTACAAAATAACAGAGAAATCGGCAGAACAATGCAATCGTTCCCACCCAGCGGGCGGGCGGTCCATAAAGAAGTCCGGCACTTGTAGGTGAGAACGGCGCATGACCTTTGGCTCACGAGAGGTTTAGAGAATAAGCTTACGATATTTTTTTCTAATATTTTATAACGTTATGGAATAACGTTATTACATTTTTCTAATATTGGGGTGTTTTATATGACTATGGTAACACTGGCTAATGCACTAGATACATAAAAAACCGGCTTCACTTTTTGGTTCGGCAGACTCCGTCTTTACTTTTTATTTGGTCTGAGTTTATATCTTACTTCCTACTAATTATAAATGCGAAAGTTTGTATGGATGTTAGTTATTCTTTCACGCAAAAAACTACTGAACGGATTTGGATGTAATTTGGAAAGCATATAGTTTATGACCTGGATTAAGACATAGGATACTTTTTGTGGGATTCTTAAAAAACTAAAGTTTTATATATATACTAGTGGCCCGCCCTCGCTTCGCTTCGGTGTAGAGCTGTAGTGTAAACTATAGTTTTTGTTCTCAGGCTTGTGCTATA